ATTAATTATTAATTATAAAGTATCCTTTTCACTTTTTCAAAAAAAATAAAAAAAAAATAAAAATATCTGTGACTTTTTATTTTTCTTGAATTCCCAAAAAAAAAAAAAAAAAATTGAAAAAAAGAAAAAAAAAAAAACTATTTTTTTTTTTTTTTTTTTTTTTTTTTTTTAATACAAGACCCTTTTTTTTTCTTCTTTTGAAACCATTTTTTAAAAATTTTAAAAAAAAAATGATTTATGGTGACACGACAGAGTTTAGAGATATTCACTTCCACTTAACAAATATTAAAATAGTTGGAGCAATATTTGGTCAAAATGGGTTCATTCATAAAAAAATCCCACTCACAACTAAAGTATTTACATTTTTATGTTTAATTTTATTTGCACTAAGTTTGGCAGCACCATTAAAGTTTGGTACTTATAGTACTTGTTTATCTCTTCAAAATTTAATAAATTCATTCTCAAATAATTGTTTGTATTTTTTTTTTTATTTAAACTTATTTTTTTGTTTAAAAATTTAATATTAATTTTTTTTTTTTTTTTTTTTTTTTTTTTTTTGTTTTTTTTAATTAAAAAAAAAAAAAAGTTTATAAAATTTTATTATGTTGTTTTACACATGCAGATATCTATCATATTCTTTATAATTTGATAACATTTTTAGATCTTGCTAAATTAGAAAGACTTACATTTGGAACATTAAAATATTTTTATTTAATTATTTTATTTGGAATAGTTTCAAATTTAATTAGTTTAATTTTTTATTTGGTTGTACAAAAGAATTTATGTCAATTAGGTTTCTCTGGAATATTGTTTGCATTAATTTATATTGAATCTGATTCATCTGGTAGAGAGGTATTTTTATTTAATGCTGTTAAAATACCATCAAAACTTTATCCATGGGCAATGTTAATCCTCATTCATATCTTTGTACAAGGAAGTTCATTAATTGGTCATTTAAGTGGTATTATCTCTGGTATTCTATATATCAAAGGTCATTTAAACCATTTTATCCTATCGAATGAAAAATTCTCTGAAATTGAATCATCTACATTTATGAATTTCATGACAACAAAAAATAGTTATATCAGTATCATTAAATTCGGGGGTTCTCGTAGATCCTACAATGCCGAAGAAAAAAGTATAGACGGTTTAATTTCAAAATTAAAAAATTTATTTAATCCACAACAAAGACAACAAAGACAACAACAACAACAACAACAACAACAAAGACAACAACAACAATCGCAAAATATTAATAATGATATTTGTGATGAATATGATTTTTCGAAATAAAATAAAATTATGGTGGTTTGAAAAAAATAAAAAACAAAAAAAACTAAAATAATATAAAATAATTTTTTTTATATTTTTTTTTTTTTCTATTTATATTTATTTTTATTTAACTAAAAAATAATTCAAATATCAATAATATCATTGTCACACAATAATTTGGTGGTAAATAATTTTCGTAGTTTGGTGTGTGGGGAGTGGGTGAAGAAAAAAAATAAAAATAATAAAAATAATAAAAAAAAATATGATTATTTTTAATTAAAATAAATAATTTTTATTTTTTTTTAAATTAATTGTATGATACTATCCAAATTTGTAACGAATCTAAGAAAAACGAAGTTTTGTGAAATATTCTGGTAAAGAGACAAAAGAATTGTATTCTAACGGTCTTTTTTTTATTTTTTATTTTTTTTATTTTTTTTTTTTACTTTTTTTTTTTACTATTTTTTTTTTTTTTTTTTTTTTTTTTTTTTTTTTTTTTTTTTTTTTTTTTTGTATCTATTTTTTTCTTATTTTAAAAAGTAACTAATCTATAGATATATAATTTTTAATTTTTAATAATTTAAGTTTTTTTTTTTCACACATTTTTCCCCCCTTTTTTAAAAAATAAAATTGTAGAACAAAAAAAAAAAAAAAACAAAATAAAACAAAATAAAACCAAAAAATAAAACAAAAAATAATTTTTATAAAAATAAAAACAAGATATATCTTTCTTTAATAGGATAATAATATATACTAATTTCAATAAAAAAAATAAAAAAAAATTTTAAAATAAAAAAAAATAAAAATTAATTAAATTAGTTGATAAAACATACATATAATATCATAAAATAAATTAATATAATAATTTCATTAAATTTTTAATTAAACATTTTTTTTTTAAAAAAATATATTTTAACGATAATAAAAAAAATTAATATATATATATATATAATATTAAATAAAAATATTTTAGAATTAAAATTAAAAAAAAAATTAAAAAAAATATGGAAAAATCAAGAATTAATACAAATGACTTAAAAGTTTTAATTAATAATTTTGAAACAATTCCTTTATTTAAAATTGATGAAGATGAAAATCAAGATGTTTCTTTAAAAAAATTGAATGGTTCAAGGTAAATAATTTTTCTTTTTTTTTTTTTTTGTTTTTCTTTTTTTTTTTTAATTAAAATAATAAAATTTATATTAATTTATTTAATTTTAGACCAGTTGGATATCATCAATTTTGTTTCGATTCAAAATTAAATAAATATAAAAGTATTGATAAAGGTGATATAATTGAGAATCAAAGTGAAGAATTACAAAGTCATCCATACCTTTATTCAAAGAATATTAAATTTGTACATGAACGTGATATGGAAATGTGTTATATTTGTAGAGATAAAGATACACCATCTGTATGTTTGTGGAGTTGGGATTTTGGAAAGAAATTAGAAATCTCAAAATTAAATTTAAATATGTTATTTATGACATTTGAAGAGAATAGTGGTGTCGATTGGTTTTTATCAACCGAAATTTCAAATGAAATGGTTTTAGCAATTCGTAATAAAAACTATGAAAAAGTTATGAATACAATTCAAGATGAATTCCTTAAATTACCATTAGAACTTGTATCACCCGTTTATTTCGATAAGAAATTGAATCTAACTGATTTAGTAAAAGGTTCAAAGAAATTTTATTTATCTTGTATAATGTCAAATAATAGTCCCTACAAAACCCAATTATTCCGTTCAAAATTTTTGACTAAATTCACTCAAGAAGATGATGACTATATTCATTTACATACACCACCTAAATTCAATTATCCATTTAATCTTTACTTTGAAGTTTCATTATCAAGTAATACAAGAAAAGATAGTCAAGAATCTCTTGATTTTAATAATGGTAAAGAAAAAAATAATTACTATTTCGTTGAAGAAGATGAAAATATTGATACAGTTCAAGATAATAATTCATTTAAAACAATGAATTGGGATGCAGTTAGAGTTGGTGATTGGTTATTTGATATGGGTTTTTATGAATTAATTGAAAGGTTTTCCTATCAAAATGTAAATGGTGAAACATTATTAACTCGCGGTTTATCAATTCTACCAAATAATTTCCTTCAAAATACTTTAAAAAGAAATAAATATATTGATGCATTAAATAGATTATTATCATTAAATAAAATGGATTTAATTTTATCTCCTCAACAACAACAACAACAACAACAACAACAATTACAATTACAACACTTACAATTACAACAGTTACAACAACAACAACAAGAAGATAATCAACAACAACAACAACAACAACAACAACAACAACAACAACAACAAAATGAACAACCAATTGCAAGTGCTGACGATCAACAAATGTTAGTACCAACTGCGAATGCATCACCATTATATTCAAATCAATATAGTGATAAATCAGTTTTAATATTAAATTATTTAGATGAAAATAATAAGAAATTTTTAAATAATAGTAATAATAATAAATTACCAGATGAATCTTCAAAGAATCAATTAAATATAGATGGTGGTGAAACATCTTCAATCAAATTAATATTGAATGATATTAATTCAAGTAACTACAAGTTAAAAATTAAAAATAATGTTATTTATGTTCATAAATCAATACTTTCAAAGAATTCAGATTATTTCAATGCATTGTTTACTTCTGGTTTTAGTGAAAATTTAAATAGTGCTTGTATATTTGACACTGATGATGAAAAATTAACCATTGAATCATTGGAATTATTAATGAAATTAATTTATCTTCAATCACAAGAAGAAGCATTAACCTTTTTAAAACAACAAGATTTTAAACAACTTAAAGTTTTACTTCATTTATCCGATAGATTCTTATTTAAACAAAAAGAATTGATTGAAAAATTCATTGTTTGGTCTATAAACTCTGTAAATTTAAAAATAATTGACCAAGAATTTTATAATAATAATTTAATTTCACTTTTTTCAAAATATTATTTAAACCAAAATTAATTATAAAAAAAAAAAAAAAAAAAAAAAAATAATTAAAAAAAAAAAAAAATTATGCCCATTTAGTGAGTTTCTTTTATACAAAAAAAAAATAAAATAAAATAAAATTTTTTTTTTAAAAAAAAATAGTAACACTCGAACTTGTTCTCGTGGAAACCCCATGAATCATCGAGTAATCCTTCATCTTCAGTTTTGTTAAACTCTTTTAATTTATTTCTTTAAATAGTTGAAAGAAAAAAAAAATTAAAAAAAAAAATTACAGCTTAAAAAAAACAAAAATAAAAAAAAAATTTGAAAAAAAAAAAAAAAAAAAAAATTAAAACATAAAAACATACAAATAAAATGAACATTTCTTAAATGGTAATAAAAAAATATTTTAAAATAATGACAATATTCATTTTGGATACCTCTTCTCTTTTTATTTTTATATATTTTTTTTTTTTTATAATTAATTTTGGTTTTAAAAGAAAATAAAAATTACGTAATTTTGTTAAAAAAATAACGAGACTTTCAAAATACGTTACAAAAATTTGAAAAATTTTACTTTTTTTTTTTACTTTTTTTTTTTTTTTTCTTTTTTTTTTTTTTTTTGAAATTTTTTTTCGTTTTTTTTTGGTATAAAAAGATTCAAAATTATTGTATTTTTTTCATTCAAGCAACACATTCAAAAGTAAGTTACTAATAAAAAAAAAATAAATAAAAAAAAATTATTAGATGTAGTGATATTTGAATGATGATTATCTTCCGCCCCAGTCTTAATTAATGTGCTGATTCGGTTACAAAACATGCCAGTTTTGCTTCTGACACAATAATCTACATTAAATAATTAAATAATTAATCACAATTATAAAAATAATGTAACTTTAATATATTAATAATATTTTTTTTATATTATAGATTTTTCTAGAATTTTTTAAATGTGCTTTCTTTTTGAGTTTCTTTGAGTTTTCCCCCAAGTTGGTCTCTCGTTTTTATATTGGTATGTTGCTTACTCTAAACCTGTTGCAAATTAAAATATATTTTTAAATGTTTTAAATGATGAAAAAAACAGACCTGATCTGAACAGTCAATGTCGACTAAATCTAAGAAGTTCTGACTTAAACATTTAAAAAATATTTTTTTCTTCAGGCAAAAAATATATATTTATAAAATTGTTCGAAAACTAACATTCGTCTTATTTTCATAAATATTACAGATTAAATTTTTTTAAAAAAATGGTTAATAAAGTTTTAAATTTTCAATTCCTTAATAAAAATATCCTTGATTTTATTTCCTTTAAAAATATATTTATTTTTATTTCCATTAAAAACCTTTATAATATTTTTATTTCCCGACAAAAAGTTTTTCCGTAATTTTATGTGTTGAAAAATTTAAAGAAATTTTTGTTGTTTCATTTTTTATTAAAATTTTTTTTTTAAATTTAAAAATTTTTCATTTTAATTAAATTTTTTTTTAAAGTAAGTCATTAAGTTAGATGTAGACTGTAGGAACATAGAGGATATTATAGAGATAGCTAGTGGACATACAGGTGCAGATTTAGTTATTTATATTTAAAAGAATAAAAGAGGGGGAACCAACAAATTAAAAAAAAAATCAAAAAATCAAAAAATTAAAAAACAAATAAAGCGAAGAAGATTATCAACTAAAGGTTTGAATGCTACCTATGAAGACATATCAAACTATAAAACTAAAGATTGTAAAAAGTATTATGGTGTTAAGGTTTATAAAACGAAGCATACGTCTGGGATGTACATCGAAAAAAAATCTCAGTGCTACGATTGCTCTTCAAGCGCACATAAATAAAAACCACTTCAAAGCTGCTTCACTCAAACATTGGTTGGAAAAAAAAAATATTTATATTCCTAATTTTAGAAAAAAATACCAATACTCATTACCTTGTGGCAGGATTGACTGTAACAAAAGCATAAAAAAGGTAGACACTATAAATGATTGTACTATGCAAATAACAAGTGCGCAGCACGTTTCACAGTCTTCACCCGATGAATCTACACCAACATCATCTCCCGTTCATTTACAAATACCACTCAGCCAACCACAATCTCCACCCGCACCACCAAAAAAATTATTACAACTTAAACCATTACCATTATCACAGCCCGCACAAATAGGTCAAACAAAACAATTTAATCTTACTTCACCATTAAAATCTTTATCACAACCTAAACCATTACTATTATCACAGCCTATACTAATAGGTCAACCAGAACTCACATCCCAATTATTACACCCAACACCACTATCACCACCACCAAAATCAATACCAATCACACGAAATTCCCAAAAATTTCAAGAGATAAAAAAAAAAAACACAATAAATATTTTTAAAATTCAAATGTAATAAAATATAAATGTTTCTCTTAAAAACATTTTAATTCCTATTTAAACAACTTCCAAATTTTTGATGTGCAAATTGGTTTGTTCACCCACTTTCAAAAAAAAATCAATAATTTATTTAACATTTACATACAAAAATATACAAAAAAACAATCTCTGATTTCAAACATAAGGCAATCAATTAACAATGCCACACAAAAAATATAAAAAAATAACATAGTGTCTTTTTTTATTTTCAAATTTTGTATCCAACACCAAAACCTAAAAAAAAAATATTTATAAAAACCTTTGTATGGAAGTTTTTTAGGTTATTGAATGTAGTTTGTGTGCATATTAATAGCGGAGCAGTATGTGGTTTTAGAGTTAATATTAAAAGATTTTCACTTTTACTATAAATTAAACCCTTTTTTTTCTATAATTATATAAAAAAAAAAAAAAAAAAAAAAATCACAATAAAATTTATACTCATAAATTCATTTAAGGAAAGATCCACTTTTTATTTTTTTAACTATTTTTTTTTATGACTGATTTTTGCATTTTTATACCTTTCATTTTTTTTTGTTTTTTTAAACTTTTTTTTTCATTTTTTCATTTTTTTTTTTTATATTTTCATTTTTTTTTTAATTTTTTTTAATTTTTTTTTACCTTCCAACAAATGACAAAACATTAAAAAAAAAAAAAATAAAGAAAATAAAAGAAAAATAAAAAAAAAAAACAAAACCAAAAAAAAAGATTATAAATCAAATAAATAAATTAAAGAATGGAAGAAGAAAAAATTTATCAAAAAGCATATGAATGCTTTCAAAGAAAAGAGTTTGAACAATCATTAAAATTATTACAAGAGATTAAAGAAAAGAATCAATACCAATCTACAGTAGAGATTCAAATGAATATATTAATAGCGGATTTTTATAATCGAAATTGTTTAAATCATTTAAAATTAATTGAGGATTTAAATCATTTATTAAGATCATTAGTAACAACTAAACAACAAATTTCACAAGATAACTCATCACCAATATTATCATCAGTATCAACAACTTCATCACCACCAAGTATTGGTCTTGATTCACAATCACAATCACAGCAATCAACATCAACATCAACATCAACATCAACATCAACATCAACATCAACATCAACATCAACATCAACATCAACATCATCATCATCATCATCACATAATGAATTGATTGATAATGAACAAGCATTAATACTATATAACCAAGCAGTTATTTATTTTAATATTAAACAACATGGATCAAGTTTTAAAATATTAGAACAACTTTTTTCACAAGTTTTATCTTTTGATGATTTTTTAGGAATTAGAATTTGTTTACTTTTTATAAATGTTACTCTAGAGGGTCAACTTTATGATAAAGCATATTCAATATTACTATTTTTAGATAATTCTTATGACCATTTTTTTTATATTAGTAATTGTGATGAAAAAACAAATAACTATCAAAATACACAAATGAGTCCAACAGAATTCAAATTTTTAATTCACTTTTATAAATCTAAAATTTATTTATTATCAAATTTACATTATTTAAAAGCATATGAAGATATTCAAAAAGCATTAGAATTAAGTTTAAAGGTAAATAAAATGTTTTTTTTCACTCTTTTTTTTATTATTATTTTTTTTTTTATTAACAACAAAAATTCTTAATTTTTATAGATTGATTATTCACCACTAATAGGGTCATGTAATTCATTGAAGGCAAATTACTTTAGTATGAGATTGGATACCCACAATACAATAAAACATTTATTATCATCAAATACTTCATCAATGAAATCAACAACAACAACAACAACATCAAAATCATCACTTTCATTTGGTAATGATTTAGTTATGGAGTCAATAACACCTGGTATCTTTTATAATAATATTGGTTCATTACATTTTAATATTCAAGATTATACGTTGGCAAATTATTATTTTTCAAAATCATTAAAGGAAACACAATCAATATCAACATCAACATTGGATAAAAGATCTCAAGTATTTTTTAATACAGGTATAGTTTTAATGGAAAATGAAAAGTATGAATTGGCATTCTCTTGTCTTCAAGAATCTTGTATCCTATTAAGATGTAACCCTTTAATTTGGTTAAGATTAGCCGAATGTTGTATATTAGCTCATCAAAATAAATTAAAAGATAAATCATCACAATCAGATTATTCTGATGATGATAGTAATATTGGTAATATCGATGGATTAGAAAAAGATATTGATAAAGATACTGATAAAGATAATAGTCGATATAGGCAACAACTATCACAACAACCAATAACACAACAATCACAACAACATTATATTCATGATAACTTTGAAAGTAATATGGAGAAATACAAAGGAAGAGAGGATGAAGAAGATGATGAGGACTTAATTTTTGGAATCATCAAAATTTTAAATGATAGTATTTTATTACCAATCACAAGTGGTCTTCATAAAGGTCTTCAAATTGGTGATAGCGACGTTCAATCGAGTCTTTCAGGTTCTGATGAAATGGAAGAGTCTTTAAGTAGACTTGGTACTTTATCACTAGAATTCGCAAGTAAATGTTTAAGAAATGCTCATTATTTGGAAAAATTGGTTTTACAAAAAAAGAATGAAAGAAATCAATCAAATAATAATAATAATAATAATAATAATAATAATAATAATAATAATAATAATAATAATAATAATAATAATAATAATAATAATAATAATAATAATAATAATAATAATAATAATAATAATAATAATAATAATAATAATAGTAATAATATTAATAAAAATGATGAACAACATATTAATGCTAATCAAAACAAAGAAGAAGGAAAAATGGAAAATGAAAATGAATTGTTTCAAGAATACCACAATGATTTATTATTATCAATTTTAGCGTCACAAGCGTATGTTTCACTTTGTACACGTAATCCCATTTTAGCATTATCGTCATCACAACAAATTTTGAATATTTATTCACAAAATAAAACTTCAACAACAACAATTAATCCGAAATATAAATATTATGCACATCTATACGCAGCCGAAGCATGCTTATTTTTAAATTTACAAAAACAAGCAATCCAATTTCTATCGTTAGATTTTATACAACAATTACAAACAGCATCAACATTGGATTTAGAATCATCGAGTACACTTTATTTAAATTTAGCAATAGCTCATTTGATAAATAATAACATTGATAGTGCAGAATTATCAATCCAACAACTACAGGCCTATTTAGTAAATCAGTATCATCAAAATCACAATTTTTATAGTCAAAATCAACAAATGGTCCAACTACAACAACTATATGAAATTTCAAAAAAAATTAATTTATTAAAAGTTTACGTTGAGTTAAGAAAAGGAAATACAGAAAACGCATTAAATTTAATTTTAAGTGGAAGACCTTCTCCAAATTAATTATTATAATGGTTTTATAATTGAA